CTATAATATGCAGACCCGTATACGTTGCAAAGACCTGTACGTTGTCCTTGGTCGTCTCCTTGACCATCTCGTACTGGCCAATGCCATTGAACGCCGTCAAGGATTCCTCAGCTCGGTGCCCCGGCGGCATTAACGTGATGATTTCCATGCTGTACATCGGCTTGACCAAATTGGCTCTCTTACGGGGTGTATGTTGAGCGGTACTTGTCGGAACATGGGTATGAGTGCCAGCCGAGGCGGACGATTGGCGGCGGCTCAGTACGCGTATACATGCCGTGGTCATAAATTGCCACTGCAGCATGTAGTACATACTACCCAGGTCCCCAAGTTTAGAACTCGGCGCTTATGAGTCTTCGTCTTGAGCTGATACATATATATCTGGATGTACATATTCAAGTCGTCGAACCCTCTGGGCAAGTTGCCGTTAGGTGGGACAATGAGCTTGCCACATGCGATTACGGTGTAGTCGCCATTACGGGGCGTTGGGCAACTCGTTCCAGTAATTGACACACTAGCATAGTATCGCTTCTCGGCTAGGGAGTGCTTGATACTTGAGTTAGCCGGCAAATTATTCTCGTCAACGGGAAATCGGTGTGACCAGCTGTAATCCAACTTGTTGAGCGCAGTAAAGTTACCATGGGCTCGGAGCGGTCCAAGTCATCGGGTGCCACGGCATGTATCAGGCCACGACACTTATGACTATAGGGGTTGTATCTGGTCGCTTAATACGGCCTTTGGTCCAGAAGTTCTTAGAGATGAGCTCATTGCGCCATGTGGAACGTCTCAGATCGGCTATGTCCTTCATCCACCCGTGGCACAGACAGTACATAGGCCTCATATCGACGTACCTTTTCCATGTCCCAACCAAGTTGGGGTATGTCTTGGAGTCAGTTAGGGTCCGATATGAATCGCGGCACGTATCTAGTAGCATCTTGGCGCTTGGTGTATTGGGGATCGGCTTCCCCCGTTTGTACCTGTTCATCATGCTATCAAACTGCGACATATCGGTCCACACTTCCGTGACATCTAGGCCTTCCATTGGCGGTGGCCGCGGTATAAGAGACATGATAGACTCGGTCATGAGGTCCAACACAATGACCAGACGTGCCAGATATAACATGACGGATCGGTTTATACCGAACAGGTCCCAGATATTCGCGGTCGCCTTGATGAGCCAGTTGGCGTAATAACGGACGTCCAAAACATCCTTCTCATGGTCCACATTCTCAAATAGACTGATCGTCGACCTTGTGTTGTTCTTTGGGCCCGTAGTAATGTGTACTGTCCGGAGACGGTCGAATTCCGTAATGGTCGTATCGGGGTCCCTGGAGCGCAGTATAGTCAACTCCTGCACCATACGATCCAAGTGCTTGGCCATAATAGTACTTGTGATGGATCGATTAATGGCCTTAAACTTGGCCACGTTGAAGCGCAGGAATACGAACCTGTCACCCTCGTTCCCACCACTACCACCACCACCATTACCAACGGTCTCATGATCTGAATCGTCAGTACCATCGTGGACGCCTAGTTGGGTCAAGTTGTTCCCATCTACATAGTCCAGATTCAATCGTCCAGCCACAATGCCCCGTATCTGCATATCGGACACCGATACAGGGTCGCCACAGGTCAGCTTAAACTCTTGGAGTGCCTTCTTTTGGAACGCCACCTTATCGTACACGCTCTGAATACGGCGTTCTGGACAAAACTGCTGGGCGTGACGCGTTGGCCATATATACCAGACCCTTGACCAGCTTGGATATACACGTCTCGTATATGACATGGAACTTTTGCTCACGGGTAGTGGGGTTTAGAATATACTCTAAGATAGACACACTGGATGGAGTCCGATCACACCAAGTTGAGACTCTTGATATCAAACTCCTTTTTGGTACTCTGCTTACCAATATACCGTTTGCGGGATATCATAAGGAACCTGTCATATAGCCTGTTTTCATATTTTAGGCAGATATGTGGCCGGTCCAATTGTTTCGTAATGTATTTGGCCAATTCCCTGGCCTGGTCTTCGATCAAAGTTCGATTGATCCCGGATTGGGAACAAAATACAAAGATCGAATCCGTATCGCCGAAATGACCTCAAAGTCATACTCTGAATCTTTAGTCAATTGGACTATGGTATCAACCAGATTACGGCCCTTGGCGGTGATGGCAGCGCCCACATACGGGAAAGCTATACGATTCCAGCCCCTGGCCCGATTGAACAGTTGCCCATATATCTCATTAGCGCATACCTTGTAGGCCAACTGCTGTGCAATATACATGACCTTCATGGTCTTCACCTTGGGGTTGCCGATCATATGTTCTTCAATCCGGCGGTCGTTCAGGTCTGCATACTTTGCCCGTGCGACCTTGCGCCGTTCAAGAAAACGGGTCATCATGTGCAGAATGTCACCCTGTAGCTTCTGATCAAATCCCTCTATAAGGTCGCCCTGGGTCACGAACCATTCTATATCGAGATTATTCATGTTCATGTCTGCGCCAGTATTATTGGCACCACCGGTTGGAAGTGATTCTGGTTGCTGAGAAGTTGTCGTTGTCGTTGTCGTTGTCGTTGTCACTGACCCAGATGTAGACGTAGATGTTCACTGACCCAGATGTAGACGTAGATGTAAGCGTAGATGTAGATGTAGATGTAGATGTAGATGTAGATGTATCGACATAGTTGTAATGTTTGCTGGGGCACATGTTGTAACCCATAATGATGGACGGATACATACTGGCAAAGTCCTCATATATCCCGACCTTTGGTTCCAATACTTTGCCACCCTTGATACCTTTGCCGTTGTACTTGGGCACCATCTCGGTCGGGTCATGGGAAAATGCAATGCCCGGTTCCATACATGTGTAGGCAATTCAGTCGTGTACGGACGAATTCATCCCACACCCAAATTGGCGCGAGAATGAACTCTTGTAGGCAGCCGCGCGCATGTAGAACTTCGTTATGTAATGCTGGTCTGTAGCAATTCGGACCACCAACTGGCGTCTTGCATACAGTACTCGGTCGTTTTCCAATACAAGTCAGGATCCGTGGCCTTCAAAAAGTTGGCACGGTACGTCTCCGAATATGTCATATCAAACTTACCCCCAAGATTCAGGTGCTTGGCCGTGTTCAGCTTGTCGTCGGGCAAGTTAGTCAAACGCTCGGTGTCCAACTTGTACACGTCGAAATGGCCCACTGATCGAAGACGGATCTCCCCAAACTCATTATCGTAGTACCAGTTACGACTATAGTACTTCTTCAACAGGTCCTCCTTGTCATTCAGGGCCCGGGACATCCATACCCAATCAAAGTTCTGCGAATTATATCCCAGACGTACACGTGTCTCGCACTGGTTAAGGCTATTAAGGTATCCCACAACCATATCGGCCTCTGAATCATAGTCAAAGTACTTTACCCTCAACTTGGAGCTCTGAACGTCAAAGTCGAAATCGGGGTCCGTACACATCGAGTCAACCACTAGTACCTCATCTTCGTCTTCGTCTTCTTGTCCATCTTTTTTGTAGATGTAGATGTAGATGTAGATGTAGATGTATCGACATAGTTGAAATGGTTGCTGGGGCACATGTTGTAACCCATAATGATGGACGGATACATACTGGCAAAGTCCAGGGTCATAACGTTCTCATATATCCCGACCTTTGGTTCCAATACTTTGCCACCCTTGATACCTTTGCCGTTGTACTTGGGCACCATCTCGGTCGGGTCATGGGAAAATGCCGAATAATCTCTGTAGCTTCCTGTATACACGTGCGCTAGCATCTCCCAAGTGACCATCCCGGCCAGGAATCCATTCAATACGTTGTTTGACCTTGTCGAACGTTGAAATCGAGTGTCAAGCCTAGTAGATTTCGTCTTAACTTCATCCGGTGTTAGCTCAGTGGATAACACTGTCACCTCCTTAGCACATATCGCAGGCAATAGTCGATGAACTCCTAGCAGTCGTTTCAACAATACACTACAGGATTTCTTGCCCACCTCAGGTACCAGTTTAGTAGTAGGTCCATTCGTCGTGGTTAAAAAAAAGTATCTAATTTGAGTTCAGTTAACAGCGTAATAATGTAATAAATACAGTCGCTCGGTCATTCAAAAATGTAGTCAACTCTGAGTATAGCTTAGCAAAAAGTGTCAAATCTGAATAAGTGAATTCAGTCAGAAGTGCCGTTATTTAACGGCGCACCTGCTGTATTTATTAATCACGTTCCTGATCTTCTTCAGCCGCGGATAAAAAATAATAATATCCGTACCTATATTTTCGGTCTCGTAGTTACTAGGTTATGTTGTCATCAAGTAAGTCATCGTTTTCTCTCTTTTAATTTCCATAATGTTCTATCCGATCCAGTCCTTTAGTCCGGTACTAAAATAAGAGGAAATACTCTAAATGTACAGGGCCTATATGGTAAAGTCACTAAATGTACATACCGATTTACGTGTACATTTTCTAATTGCTCAATTAAATTCGCTTAGTGTGATATTCAATTCCTTTCTCAAACTTATGGTCCTTCCGTGACAATGGCAATCATCATGTTGCCCTTGCAGGTTCATCAGCGCTTCTGGCAAATATATACCGTAAAATATGGGGCGCCTTGGGCTTCGCAGCAATACAACATTGCTACCGTTTTAAACCAACTCGTTGCTTTTGCCGCTATATTTACGATAGTATACCCCTTTCCTTCAATCGTATTTTCAGTTATTTTGCGAGCATTACCGATCACTCTTTAACATTGTATACCATTCATGGTGAAAGTCTATTGGTATATACCGACTTCGACTGGGTTCGTTGTCTTCACTCGCGTTAATGCCTATATACTGCAAGTTGGAGCTCTGAATTGGCTGAATACATCGCCACATCAGAGACATCCTGTAACATTGCATGGTTGCTAATTATCACGTGGACACTTACTCAGATAATGTAGCTCAATTTTCATTCGGTGACTGTTTTAGTGTTTGAGAGTGACTGATAAGATACGACTAAAGGAAACAATAGACCTCTTCTCAAGTTTAGCTAAGCAAAAGTCTTGGCTGTCGGAGTCGTATTGAGTTGTTTCTTTGCTAGACTCAGATTCTACTTGAGTGCTTCTCCCACACGCGGGATCCCAGTATCCTTTATAGGTATTGTCGCTGTTTTTCTGATGACTCTAATATCAGTAATACTGGATCCGGACCCAAAATTCAGTGTTTGGTAGTCCTGTGGTTTTGAAATCTGGAACGGCTTTTCTGATATTCTAGTGCCTCGATGGTACAGCTCCAACTTTGCACGTCTGAGCTTGTGAAGTGGTGGAAAATGACATCTCATGGTACCAATATTTTTTGAACTTGATGCTTTAATACAGGGAAAATACTGTTCTCTAGGCGATTAAGATGGAAACCTGCCACCATTATTTATTGTTATAAACTATTTACCTTGCTATTAACCTAAGTTAAGACCCGACTGTACAACTCGCAACCCATAGCATGCTACAAGGCAAGGGATGTATTTCTTTTCGTATTAGTGAAACTGATTTAATTTTCCGCCTCATGTGATTCCTGTCGTTCGCTGTTCGTTCTTCAGTGCTCATTTATGCTTGCTTCTTCAGTCTGGTCTACCTTCGCTCGCGCGTTGTCGGAAAAGTGTAAAACCATCAGCGCCTGCTATGTCTGCTTCATGTGTCCTATTGCGCTCTCTATCTGTCTATAGCAGTAAGTACTCCTGGGTGGGATCCATCGCCTCGGTTGGATGGCCGATGGTTTAAAGAATTGTGATTCTTCAGTTGGTGGTATTTGACTATTGGGAACGAATTCTTCTAAGGCGTTGGCCATTTATGAGTCCGATTAGTTCTGGGCTTTAGTCTCATCAAGGTTACAGACAAGATACCCGTTGCCCTTTTTGCTTCCTATTTTGTATGGACCGCCATATGGTGCTGTCAATATACTTATTTCACCTTGATAGCGAGCCAATACAATATCCCCTTCATGGATGTTTACACACTACTTTTGGTATGTGCGGTTGTATACAGCGCACAGCTTTTTTTAGTATTGGGGGATTAGGGTTTGTCTGATAGACTCCTCTTGATTTTCCAATCATTTTTCCCATGGCACTGTTGTGCCCGGTGCGTTTACTGGTGTAATATAACCCGTTAATTGATTTCGTCTGCATCCAATGTACACATTTGATCGAGGTGTTTAATGTCATTTTGATGCACGTAGAGTGTGGCCCGTTTGTATGAATGAAAATCGTGAGCACCAATTACCGGGATTCTGGGGATCATACCACAAAACAACTCTTATCCACTTGCATCACAAACAGCAAGCCTAAAATCTCAACTAGCGCCTACTTCAGAAATCGTGAGCACCAATTACCGGAATTTTGGGGATCATACCACAAACAACTCTAGCCATTTGCATCACGAACAGCAAGCCTAAAATCTCAACTAGCGCCTACTTCAGTAATTGTAAATCAAGATCCAATCAAGCCACCTCTGGGGCGAATTTCAAATCTAAAAATTGTCGTTGCACTACAAGACAACGTGAGACCTGCCGAAGAAAGAATATCCACAAGGATAGTTCCAAACTCAGGCTTTATAGAGGATATTTCTTTCTCAAAGGGACCAACCAAAGACTCGTGTACTGCCAACAGCTATTACAACGAAGAGAAGGACACCGTACACGATAAATTTTTACGCATCGACGGTTGGTACAACTTTGCCATATACCAACTAAAGCAAATCCAACAGAACGTGCACACAGGCGAACTTTAACGGGCAGCGCTCATTGATCTTATCGTTGATCTACTACGCGACTTCAAATTTACGTTAGACCTCAAGAAATTACGCGGTAGTAAGGGTGAAAACTTTGCCGCCCTACTAAAACATCCGACATACAAATTTAATCAATTCGACCCATTGCTACAGAAACTGTACGACAATTAAGTGAACAAGCAACATGAACTAGCTATAGTTCATTCATACAAAAACAGAAAGCAAACAACGACAAGGCCGCCCGTGAAAAGGAAGGGGAGGACAAATCTGCGAAGCTTTAAGTTGGATAACATATTAAAGACTTCGCACTCATTCGGTCAGCCCCAACATACAATGCGCCACAAAATGAGGGGTGTGGAAAGTTTTAGTTCAGTGTCTAAATCACATGGTAGTAATCATAGACCTGAAGAACAGGGTTTGAGCGACGGCGAAAATAGTTCAGATGACGACCTCGATCTGTTCCGTCATTTCCACAATTAAAGGAAAATTCCTCTCAAACTGTGGCGCTCTTACCTGGGAGTACTACAATGGGCTGCGTTTGCAGTACACAACATCCGACCCTTCTTGGCGAAGATACAGCAGGGTGTGCAGCTGACACATCCGAAAGTCAGACTGTCGGTTCTTTATTCAAGAAAGTGAGGAAGCTAAACACATCACTGACAAATTTCGACGTCGTGCGATCTGACTTCAGGAGCCGAGCGCAGGACTGACTGGGGACGCATCGAAGATAGATCTTGGTGCGACCCTATACACTCAAGGCCAGACCTATACGTTCGCTGGCCAATGGGACCAGAGCTAGGCGAAGTGGCCGATCGCTGTCCTGGAATTACGAACACTAGTTCTGTTAATGACAGATTCCTCGACAGCCATGCATGGCCCCCGGAAGCGACGGAGTCCTTCCAAATTGATGAACTCTCAATTACGAAACCTTGCACTGATCTGCCATACCAAGGAGACCAATTGGCTCACAGCGCTAGCATACCCGCCAAAGAAGCAGAATGTAACAGCGAATTAACTTAGTCGAAGGAAAAATCTCCTTCGGGTTTCTTGGACTATCAGGTCGCCGGAAATCCTGACCGCCCGAAGTCCTCGTGGGTCAAGTGATAAAGAAACAGGGCAGGAAGGAAGCCGAGGGAGTATTCAATCTTGCCCTTTTGGACAGCAGCAATCTGGTGGGGGAGCCTGATGGCCCATGCAAAAAAAGACTCGTATACCGAGCTGTCAACTGTGACAAACTTCCAATAAAGATTCGAAGCTAAACGCATCACCAACTGATGGGGCCCAAGTGGAATGTGTCAGATGAAGTAGGGGTCACAAACCTCTACGCGATATACCGGTCGCCCATAGACAAATAGTATTGAAGCCTCCGAAGACCCTCAATCGGTTGAGATATTATTTGAACGGTTATAGCAAGGCCTGAGTGCTAGACCAAACTCTAATGAACATGTGGAGAATAGTTCGAAGTTTTCGGATGACCGCGCACCACTTCGTCTCAACCTTTAACACAGCTTTTAAATATATAGTATACATCAACAGTATCATAATAAGGGATAATAACATATATTTCAATTTATAATTTTTTTTGTCTTCATAACAGACTTCGTATTCGTTGGAGAGGTTCTGGGTAAATTGAAGGGAAGTTAAGATGATTAAACTGCCGCGAGAAGCTCGGGGCGAGTGATGTAACGATGGAAGACATACGGTGCGTTAGTTCACGGCGATGTATACGGAATACCTCAACCATTGGGTGAGAACTAAAACCTGTGTGCCATTGCGTGGAATAAAGCTGGCCCACACTCGTTGTGGTAATATGGGCTGAGCCAGTCTGCGATATTTTGAACGTGATACCAAGAAGGGTGAGGTTGTCGTTCGCAATTCTTTTTTGAAGCGAAGTTGGAGGCTGCCCGATACTACACCACACAACTGATGTATTTGCGATATCCTGGCTAGCCATAGCGGGAAGTATCATAGGTAGTACGTGCTACTACTGATCTAGTTATGATGTATTGCGTGGAATAAAGCTGGCCCACACTCGTAGTGGTAATCTGGGCTGAGTCAGTCTGAGATATTTTGAACGTGATACCAAGAAGGGTGAGGTTGTCGTCCGCGATTCTGTTTTGGAGCGAAGTTGGAGGCTGCCCGATACTGTACCACACAACTGATGTATTTGAGATATCCTGGCTAGCCATAGCGGGAAGTATCACAGGTGGTACGTGCTACGGCTGGTCTAGTTGTGATGCGGATGCTATTACAGCCAACCTACATCAAAGTCTATGGGTGGCTGGTTGAATTCTTCTCGAAGATTGTCATGTCACGTTTTTCATTCTACCTCGATGAAAACTCTCTGCGAACACCGACCTTGTCGGATGATTATCACGCATATTTTCCATGCCCACATCGGCTATATGCCGTATTTATTTTTGGTGTACAAAACTACCGCTCTTTGGTCTTGTAAACAATGCTCGACGGTGTATGTTGTCCTTTATTTATATTCTGCATTGGTGCGATTTCCGATACATATAAACGGTGGTATCCATTTTTTTTTGTTCTTTAATCTAGAGGTGGCGGGTTTTGCAAACGGTGCCACGCCGCGAGCCTGCTTATTATGAAGCGGATATTGCAAGACTCCTGAACTTGGCTTGATAGATAATCTGGGCCAACGTTATATACCAGGTGTTTATGAGCTGCACAAAGACATCCGTGTCTAACATATGTCAAAGTAAACATCTATTTCTTACAAACATTAGGTATGTGGTTGGACGCAAAGTACAACAATTGATATAGGAACCCTTTTGAATACATAACCCTAGTCCGCGTACAATACATTTCAAAGCGGACTCTATTCACGCGAGAAATTGCGGTACTCTACACATCTATTTTGTATATTACAAACAATACAATTAAACGGGCCCTGTACATTCCTATCACACGGATGCACTGATTGAAATGAGACGTGATCCTGCGTTGGATGAATTAAACTGTATCTTTTTAAAAGGCATGCCGTTACTATTGGAAGAATTCCGGATCTCCACTTCACAAATGTAATATATAATACCCTGTGGCATAGGTTGCAGACATTGATGACAGCCAAATACAGGATAGTTACACCGTCCAGGAGGTTGTCTGAAAAGTATATTATACTCAGGCGGCGGCTACTGGTATATATGTCTGCAAAGTAAGTTTCAACGCCATGTATGTCTATTGCGCAAGTTGTACCTCCGGTACAAGAACTTTTGCCACAGATTCCTTAATAGTCAATTTTTGAAGTCATCTAATAGTGGATAGTAATAAATAAATAGTCACCTATTCTTTCCAAATAAAAGCAGCATGAGGATCAATGAAGTGCGGGTGTCTATAGGCTTAACATTATCCTTGCGCTACAGCTCTTTGTCTGTGAAATGATGTCAGCAAATCTATTTTTTTTCCCCAACAGCCTGATTGTCAACGTGTGGATTATTTCATACTATTGATGATAACAACATCGCATCTCATACTGATTTACTACATATTTTTTACCTTCACTTACCGGATGATCGCACATTGTGAGGCTGAAGGCTGACTACATAGCTAGATAAGCGATGAGTTGCTATTCGTTCTTCAGACACCAATGACCGATTGGGTTGGACTTGGGGTTAATTGCTGTAGTGGCCAGGATTTGGGTCGTCAAAATCGGACCAAAAGTATCTGGACTGGATAATTTTCTCACAATATAGACCCTATTTTCTAGTCGTCGTGTATTGCATTTTGGATGCAACATATTGCTAGCTATAATCGCTTCTGAAAACGTCAAATATAGACAGGCAGTTGAACGACAGTTTCAATTGAAATTTTGACTTCAAATAGTCCTATTTGGTGAGAGGAACGCAGACTACAAACTCGGTTTCATATCTTCATCGAAATGGCAAAGAAAACAGTACGACACTGAAGTGTGCGGTGAAGCAAGTACACCCGTTAAACTAGAAAATAAGATACACAAAGCGAAAGCATATGCTTGTAATCAGCTGCACGCGGTCGCGAACATCAAGTAGATTTTATTAATATTATTTGTATACTATAATTCTTTGCTGTTGAATTTTTTTGTGGATGCAAGGCAAAAGCTGTAAGGATGCCTAGACAATTGAACCATCTCCTATGTATCAACGATTGGTTTGCTATCCCGTGTCGTCTAAGTGTAGCAGGTTTGCCCACAAGGACAACGATTTGGCAACATCCACACGTCCATGCGGTGGTCAAATATAATTAAGGTAAGGTCCGATAGTTGCCTGGCATGCAGCCATGTTAATTAATGCTGACTCGCATTGAACTCTTTCTGTTCTGTAGTCTGATTGAGAGCATTTGAATTAAACTCGCGCGCAGCCGCCGCACTCTCATCCTCGTCACTATCATCGTCGTCAATCAAATTCAGCTGAGCCATGGACAGCTTGGGTGATTTGGGTGGTTGAACCTGATAAGAAATCGCAAGACAAATAAAGTGAGGTGTTAGAGATTGCTATAGTAGCCTGTTAGAGGTTGCTATCCTAGCCAGTGTGAGATGCAAACGGAGTTTGTTCAGCGCGAGTGTCCCTAACAGCGTGCGCAACATGCTGCTTGCTGTATATCTTACCCCCCCCAACGCTCGGTCAGCATCAGGTGAAATATTATCTCTCCATTTTATTCTAGTTTACTTATAAGAACAAAAAACTTTTAACCCACACAAGGAGTAGAATATGTTTCTATACTAATAGCAAAACGTAACGTACATGACCGGCTCCTGCGTAACATATTGATACAGAGTATATGCAAAAGTGCTAGGTTACACATTATTAAAAAAGAAATCATATTTTATCGGCGGACGCTTCTAACATGAATAACAACGTAGCCAACCCTAGGACAATCTATTAACAGCAGCCCAGGAGGCACACACTGTATCTCATGATCTAGTGAAACAACTCGTCCCATCTAGAATTATTCAAATCTGAAGATGTTAAAACACCTGTAAACCTCGAGCTCAAGTACAGAAGAAAACCAGTGCGGAACAAGCTACTAAACACACACACACCTTATCCACTTTGACAGGGGCGGGCGCAGAGTCGTCGCCAAAAGATCTGCGAATGGCAAGATCTCGGGCCTTTTTGTAGTACAAGCCTAGTTTACCCCAGTCAAGTATATCGGACAGACGCTACAGACAAGGAATACGAGTATGAGTGGAGCTATGAGCATAAGCGTCAGCATGATGTTTGGGCTTAGTACAGGCGTTGTATGATTCTCTCGCGTTTCTCGGCTGTGCAATTTAAATTGTACCTATACAACGTGACGTGACATTCGCGCCAGTTCAGGGAATTGGTGTGATCCTCGTGTACGTCTGGGCTGTAGTTGGTAGGGCGCTCAGCACCTCATATTAACCGAAACCATAACAAGTCTCAATGAGTCCATTTGGGAAGTACTACGAGGAGTGTATGCGATACTTTGCGCCGAAATGTATTGTGCTACCTGTACGGATCCCTCCCACCGTCAAAGTGTCCTAGTATGATACTTGAATCTGCCTTCAAACGAAGGTGCACTAACGGAAGTATGGTTGATTGCGACAGAAATAGGTACAGTTCAGGATGAATAGGGCTTTAGGAATGGGAAAACGTGCCGTATACGTACACATACTAAAGGAAGGATACGTATAACATTGAACCATATCGCATCAGCCTATCTGTGCAAGTCGCAAAATATTGTGTACCTAAACTACACTGACACAAAACTCCAAGTTCAAACACACACTAAACATATTACTCATCCTAAAGTAGGTAAAAACTGATGAACAGAATCCACTCCCACCTTTTACCCACCTCATTCCGATTCCTGAGTTGGATTCGCTGACGCTGCTCCATGACGGTGAAATCATACATAAAGTCTACCAACTGATTTGCCGACTCGTCAGGTGATTTGAACCGGCGGTCAACTACATAGATACCGTATGATTCTGCACAGTAAACGTATATAAGACCATAAAGTAGTGAGTAGGAGCAGCAATATGTACATATATACTGTATGATTCTGCACAATAAACGCAGCCAAAAAACCATAGAGTATTGAATAGAGCGCAGGAGAAGTAACATGTACATAACTACCGCACACACATCTGCACAGCAAACGCAGCCAAAAAACCATAGAGTAGTGAATAGAGCGAAGGAGCAACAATACTCACATAGCTACCGTACGAATCTGTACAATAAACGTATTTATTTTAGTGCTATATTTATTCATGCACATCTTAAACGGTGTAAATAGGTTGGAGGCGTAATAAAAAACAAACAAACAAATACCGTATAATGCTGAATAATAAACGGATGCGAAGACCGTCAAAGCTAAGCGAGAATGATGCCGGCGCAATATATTATTCGAATCGTGCACGCTACAGTACAATAAACGTACCAATTCTTCTCAAGGGGTTGTGTACAAGAACACCTGCATATAGCACAATAAACATAAACGTAATTGGACTAGACAAAAGAGATCGGGTATGCTGACGACCTAGTTTCATACAGAAATAGCGCACGCGACTACATTCAAAGAGAGTCAAGCGCATTTTAGAACATATGCATGCCGTGATATCGAATTTAGCATAAATTAAATCAAGAATGATATTGATCCATGCAGAAGCCAATATCTGAACGGGCATAAACGGAAAGCAAGAAGTATCTTTGTGACATACCTGGCCCAGGTGTGTAGTTTTCTTCAAATAGACTGATATGTTTATATGAAGAAATGCATTACATATATATATATACATATACGTATATAGATATATACATACGTATATATATAACATAATAATATAATAATATAACAATATATATACATCTATACCTATACATACATATCCATAGAAACATACAAATGCACACGCACGCATATACGCACACATATACGCACGCATATACGCACACACACATTTATTTATACATGAATTTGAATCCATAACAAGCATAGGGTGATAAAGTGACATACCCGGTTCGTGGACGTGTTCCTCCATAAATAGACCGAAACCCGACAAGTTGGACGTGATAGAAGGCACTCCCATGACTGTGCATTCCGCCGGTGTGTAGCCCCACGGTTCGTAGTATGAAGGAAACACTCCCATATGACACCCTAAATACGGTTAGTAAGCAAACAATAACATTCGCATAAGATTAAAATAAGAACATATGCCCTAACCAGCCGACTCTCATAGTATAGCTATAAATAAATCCTGGTCATTTTAAGTAAGTAACTCCCAGGATGAATGCGGCACGATTTTATGCTACCTCGTGTCCACAAAGTCCAATTACTACTACTACTTTGCCTGATCGAGTAGGACAAAGTCAAATTACTATTACTCCTTTGCCTGATCGAGTAAGACAAAGTCAAATTACCACTACTACTTGGCCTGATCGAGTAGGACAAAGTCAAATAACCACTACTACTTGGCCTGATCGAGTAGGACAAAGTCAAATAACCACTACTACTTGGCCTGATCGAGTAGAGCCAAAGTGCACTCCTAAAAACATTGTGCACAATGCCAACTCACGGAACGATCCCACTGGGGGTAGTGTTGTATGTAGTCGTGTACACACACACACACACACACACACACACATATATATATATGTATATACACACATACATATATTCAGCCATAATACACACACACATACATACATACATACATACATACATACGCATACACACACACACACAAACATACATACACACACGCAAATATAGATATAGATATAGATATATATATCCCGCGTCCTGATTTATCGTCGGAGATTATATCATTCGGGCGTAACCTATTGCTTCATTATAAATCAGCCATCACAGTAAAAGGTACGAAGCTATGCTATAGCACCACGTAACTCCTTCAACTGATATGCAATACTTATCGACTAGGTTATAAATACTCAGCTCATACAATATTTAAGAATAGGTTGTATTTATTCATCAATGTTCCAATGAACGACAGGCGTGCGTAGCAACCAACTAGACGCTCTGCCCCTAGCAACGCGCAGTGAACAACGTGTGATGTAAACACATTTGTATGCCACACGTTCTTATTCGAACATAACTATAAAAACCACTAATTAACTATGAACCAAGCATACATACCTCGAACAAACAGAGATATAAAAACCACTAATTAATTATGAACCAAGCATACATACCTCGAACAAACAGAAATATAAAAACCACTAATTAATTATGAACCAAGCATACATACCTCGAACAAAGTCATCGTAGTCTAATGGCAGTAGGGGTGATGTGGACTTGACAAACTCTGGATGGAAGATCACCTTAACTCGGTCGTCTTTTCTATTGAGTAGCTGAAGCATACACAAACACAGGATATAAGATAAGAGAGCCTATTGTTAGGAAATACACACACAGACGTTTATAATACCAAAAATGAAATGGAAATTATATAATACGTTCACACATATGGAAAGACAAATTCTGCGGGATGGTCTAAAATATGTTATTCTTGGAGTCCCACTAGCAAAATATTCATTCGGTACACCACGTTAAATTTATACAATATGAGTATATATACAGACACAGACACAGACTCAGAAACATATATACATACATACATATATACATGAATACATACATACACAAACTTATATAATCTCGAAGCCAGTACGTTGAGCGAACTACCGATAAGCAAGAAGAAACTCTCGATCTTAATTTCTGCAAGGACTTCATCAGACACAGACACAGACACAGACACAGACACACCTGACATTTCCTCAGCGCATTCATGACATCGTCTTTGGCATCGTTGATAAGGTTGTGCGTGACCACAGGTGGGTCTGAGCTACGCTGCATGGCATACAGACACTTCTTCATACGCAACTCGTCTTGTCGCGTCATAATCTGATCTTTGGGGGTGATTTCGCCTCTGTTTGTGTGTGCACAAGACATGGTAGAAAATTCAGGGTGTGTGTGCGTATGTTTCGGCTATGACTTGAGGATTTAGAGTGAATGTACGCAGTTTGCTACAGTGCAATTTGGCTTGCCGCGTCATAACGTCCTCTTTTCTGTGAGGGAGCATTCGCCTGTTTATATGATATAAAGCACAATAGTATATACCTCCAGCTCTTAACCTCGTGATCAAGTGTGTGGCTGTATATTTAGGGGTGGATGTACGCAGCAGTTTCTTCCAGTAAAACTCGTCTTTCTCTCTCTCTCGCGTGTACGGGAAGCAAATTAGAGATGAACAAGCGTACACAGGCACCGCTGTACGCTTGATAGAGAACAAATATTGAAGACTCCAATTCTCTTAGCACAGTATGTCTTGTGTCCACTTTGGGAAGGTAGAGTCTCTGTACAGATGCGCATTAAGTCTAATAGGAAGTTCAAAGAGTATACTCTTCTGCCCCAGAACACCATCACCTCGGAACCAATCGTATCTTGCGGACGCTAAGAAACAAACAAACAAACATACAACACACACACACACGCACACGCACATATATATAGTCACATGCACAGACACATGCACAGCATAAATATACACTCGTGTATTTCAATAAAAACAAAACACCTGATAATGCATAGGTATACCTAAAAGAGAACTGGAACTCAATCGCATCTTTCAGAATCTTCAATACACAGTATATACACGCGCATGCACACAACACACACACACAAACACACAAACATATATATATACCTATATACAAATACACTTAGTTACACAATTAAACAGTACGAAATACATGACTGTACACATATATATTCACACAGACACAGACACAGACATATATA